TAAGGACTACACATCCCATGGTACCTTGCTGCCTGCAAGCAATGATTCCTGTACCGACTCAGCCTCCTGAAACTCGGTAGTTCAGAAGGTAGGCTCTGTGAAATGTATGACACAGCAGTGCTTACTCACAGGGCATAGTGACTATATGTCAAAGAATTCAAGAAAGTAAATGTGTGGCAATCTTCGCAAAGTGATTTTACAAATTCAAAGGTCATTAATATTAAAACGGACCTCCAGACTCCCCCCAAAAAATATGTAGTACCCTCCTAGATAGCTAGGGGGAGCTAGTTGAAGTCATTTTTTAGACAGGAGGCAGCCAGGGAGGTAGTCAGAGGGGGTCAAATTTGGCTCTGGGCTGAGAGGCTCTGCAGATCAGCCCTCTGATACCTCCCCCTGATCTAGAGACTTGGAGAAGTGTCCAGAACTCAGTGGGCAGGGGTGAGGAGTGGCTGATCTGTATGCTTTAAGGGACCATGACCAGTCTCCAAGCAAGAGACTTGACAAAGGGGTTGGGACAGCGTTTAAGCATAGGTGAGTTTGCTCAGTGTGGGCTAGAGTTCAGGTGGAAGATGTGAAAGCAGGAGGGGAGTGTGAGAGCCTGGGAGGGAACCCAGTGGGAAGGGGCCTGCTTCCAGGTGGGATCTGAAAAGAGGGAAAGCTGAACCTCACTGACCCCCTGAGAGAGGAGCATTTGTGGAGCTAAGGAAGGAACCAGCCCCCAGCAGAAGGCCTGAAGGCAGCTACCAATCTACAAATTGCAGGAGAGGAACAGTGAGTGCTTCTACACCCCCTGGACCAGAGTAAGGGAAAGGGTATCTGAGTGGGAAACTTGACTAGCCCCCAGCTGGACTGTGCTCTTAAGGCGGCAGATTCTGGATCCCTTTGTCCAAGGAAAGCCCTCAGATTGCTGGATAGAGAAGGACTATCTGGAGTTTGGGGTGGTACATCAGGAGAGGCTGGAGAGCTCTCCAAAAAAGAAAGCCCTTCTGTGGACTTGTACATAGTTTCCATGAAGTCTGGACCTCTTGCAGCACCACGTTTCCAGTGAGGGATCTCATGTCGGTAGCAAAGCAAGATGCAGATGAGACACTGAAAGAGGAGGTAGAATGTACACCTGAAAGTACACAACAGTTAGAACCTGAATTTCTGAATTGTGCTATAGATGTGTCATCGTTTAAAGAAACAAACACCATCATCTCTGCAAATGACAGAGGACCTGATATAGAAAATGGGGGAAAATCTCATAATCTTGACTCTGGAGAGGCTTGCACTTACCAGCATCCACAAGTAATGGCCTGTGATCCCCAGAATACTGCTGTTGTGGATGTAACCGAAAAAAAAAAAGGGTTCAGGCATAACGTCATTGGTAGCTGATGAAAATGCAGATATGATGATCCTTCCTGAATGCTACAAGAGGTCCAGATTACTTACAGACCCCCAGCCTCTTCGGATTGATGGGTCCTTGCACTATTGTGAATATTGACCATCGATTATCGCTGCTATAACAGTAGCATTCTGGTGAGTGCATAGTGGTGGTGGAGTATTCACTGTATCCCTTGGCACTGTTTTGGAGCTGGATACGTTGCTGTTTTGTGTCTTGCAGTATCACTGGCACATATAAGGACTATATTTTGTCACATTTTTTGTGATTTACACCAGCACTTATATTTTACAGTATGGGGACCTTATTTATTTACTGTTTTCACCGATGTTTATGCTTTGTTTGCACTTATGTGTAAACTCTTGGTCTTGGATGTTTTATTATATGATTTAGCGCTGCACTTTGTACACATTTGTAACTGTGAGATTTATTGTCATTGTCTCTTGTGCTAGCTGCTTTTTGCTATATACAGCACTCGGCATTTATTATCACAAAGTGCTGTATGCTTTGTGAATGGTCCCACAGTCTTCTGGGACCTATGAAGTATCCTAGAAGGCTGCAGGGGAAGGAGTGGGAGCCAAACTTCTGTCTCAGATCAAAGTGGCGCATCTCACCGGAAGTGGGAGCAGGTACCTCTTGAAGCAATTGTACTACAAGAGTCATCCATTTTGCTAAAGACCCTCCATCTTGTATCATTCTCTCCCACTCCAATCCCCCTCCCTCAGGAATGTGGTCTGTATGTATGCTGAGATCACAGGCATCAGGCACAGCGGGATAGCTACATGGTTATAAACCCCAATTAGCCTGGGCCTAGTGTGTCTGTGAGACTCTTGCTTTGAGGTGATTGTAAAGCTATAAACCAGTCCTTCACTGGACTTCAAACACATTCCGAGATAACAGTAAAACAGACATCCTATTTAAAACTACTTTTCCATATAATTTCATATCTTAAAATAGGGCATACATACAATCAAACAATGGATATATTCGGATAGCTCAGTTTAATGCGAGTCGCCTGATATCTTACACCCCTAGTTAAAGTCTACAGGAGAGTAGAAAGCCATATAGTTCTAGCTGAAATAGTAATATATGGCATATTTGATGTCTGCACGTTAAGGATATTATTCTGCATATTAATTTACTAGTGGCTAGGCTGCTACATGTACCTAGGGAAGGTTATTGACCATGGTATAACTTGGGAGGGATTTGGTCATAGCCTGAGTTCTAAAACACCCCTCCCCAAATGAGGCGATTGGTTCTCTGCTTTAAGGAGACACCCTGCCGTGTTCCTAGAAAAAGGCTGTTATGCTTGGAGCAGTAAGTTGAAGAATTCTCCCTTTTAACATTGGAACCAACTTTGGGAGAAAAGGCACCCTTTTTTTCAGGACACTGGAATCTACTTAACCCAGGACTTTTGGCAAGTACTCTACCTCTCTAAACATCTTTCTATTATCTCCCTGTTGTGTTACTGCTCTCTGTATTTATATATATATTGGTTACATCTTTTTCTGTAAATATTTTTATTGCACCCTTTTGACCTTTTTAGTAATAAATCCTATTATCTGAAAAGTTTTGAACTGTTTTTAAAGCTCTTTAATGCAAATTAAGAATTCCTGTCTCTGAAGAGTGCTACTGTGTGTTTTTAAACCTCTATATACATCTGCCTGCAGTGACAATGTGTATACAAACGATTATTCAAACATCATAGTTTTTGTCAGGAATGGACTTGCCAATGGTGGTGGGACTCACCTGCCTTGTGGGCTGCAGTACCAGGGCTGGCCAGCGGGTGCTCTCAGCAACCAGAAGCACACTCCTGCAATCAGCCATCACCTGAGGCTGATTGCAGGAGGTGTATTTAAGGAATGGTGCCTTGGTGTTTGTTTCCCATGTGCCCTGTTTCCTGTATCCTGTCTCCTGCCTGCTCGACTCTCCTGCTTGACTCTGACTCTGATAGAACTCCACCTGCACTGACCCCGGCTATTCCTGACCATTCTTCTGCCTGCTCCCGTTGTACCTTTCTGCCTGATTGTTCCTGACCCGGCCTGCCTGACCACTCCACCTCTGCAGCCCTGACTGCACCTGTACCTATTAGTTTAAGGTTTGTTTTGTTTTGCACTGTGTTTGTTTATTTTGTGCAGCTCATAATAAATATTATTATTATTTAATCATTTCTGAAGCCTGCTGTTTCTCTGTGTCAGGCCACACATCTCTGGTCATACCTGGATCCCTGACAGTGTTATTGCTAATATTGGCGAGTTTCCTCCTTCTCTGTACAAAAAGGCGGTGGTGGCAGTGTGCAGGGTTAATTGCGTAATTAACCTGACTCAGTAACAATCGCTCTCAGGCTGCAGGTACATAGTTTGTGGTCCATTAGCTGGAAAATCTTTGTGCAGCTGAGCGTGGCATTGTTACGCACGTGACAGCGCGGTTTTAGATTGGCTAGTCCTTCAGTCACAAGTTGGTGAGAAGGGCTGGAGGTCTGATGCCGCGTCCGTCACGCCACTCACCCCAAAAAGTGCCAAGAGTGGCAGTGGAGGGGGGGGGGAGGATACAAACAAATGGAAATGCCCATTTGAGTGAAATTCTGCTTTAATTGGAGTAGACTAGAAATAATTGAAATACAATGTGGAAATGAATATATGATTTTACATTTTTAAAATTGATATGATTTAATAGAAGATTTAAGCCTCAAACTTAGGTGGGTTTTTGCAAGATCCACCAATATCATTCTTTTTTATAAATTATTTTATACTATACTAAATTATTTTTTTTACTTTTTTTTATCTTTAAAGAAACATCAATTTGAAGTGACTCAACCACAGGATCTGTGAAAGACAAAGTCATGCAGACACACAAAAGGACGGTGAATTTAATTAACATAAACACATTTGGCAGTATTAGCAAGCCGCATTATCTGGTGCAGAAAAATAAAATAAATATTCACTCCCAGTTTCTGTTTCCATAATCATTGCTACTGTCCTCAGAATATGAGCAGAATGGAAATCAACCACTGAGGACACTCATTCAGGTGTTTGCTAATAAAGGTGGAAGTTCCCCTTACTTGCTGTTGTGCTTCAAGGACAGGAAATGAGAAGAGATCTCCCTAACGGATAACAAAGGCAGCAATAACAACCTGATAGAGGTTCTAACAACACTATTTGTAACAAAGAAAAAAAAAGCTCCACAATGATTCCCTGTTTCAGGTCAGGAGAAAGTCATGGAGTTCTAATGAACAATTTAGCTTCAGGCAGCAAATTCCATCAAAAAGAAGGCAAAACAAAAATTCACTGACACCATATGCCATGCTCAAGTGTTTATTTAATGCTATTCTTCAGTAAGAAATGACAAAGAATTAATTCATCATCGAATTCCTTTGACTCAGGATAGATAATTACATATGAAGAATAAATATTCCCTGGTATGATTATCAGTGTTATTCAATAAGCATTTCCATGTATTTTGGTTTTCTTCGGAACTGTCAGAATCTGGAAATCTTCACACATTGGTACTTTTTTTGTTATGGTTGGTCAGAGGTAATCATAGTTGATGAAAGCGAATGTCTTACTACAACTGACGCCAATACCATGGAATAGCTTGTTTTCATTTTATACTGGTAATTCTATTTGATTTGGATAGGGTTAGTTTTGGAATGTATAATTTTAGATTTGGGTTTGGATAGCAAAGTGAAAGAGAGGTCATAATAGACCATGAAACCATCATTAAACATGTAGAGCCTGTGATCATTAGGATTATAGGACATACTTTGCACTTTCTCCGTTGGCTTATCAAAAATGACACTCAGCTTTCCTTCTTTATTAGTTTTGGTATCATACATGTAGAAGATCTCTTCTTGCCTTGTGCTGATGCCTCGAGTAGCATACAAGACCCCGCACACCATGAAAGCATTGCTGACTCCAGGTTTGTACTGGTTGGTGGTCCAGGTCTGCAGTACTGCAAGACTGGTAGCATTAAGTTTGCTGATAACAAAATTTCCATGATTCTGCTCATTTGAATAAAGGACCCAAAGACCCTCTTCATCAGCTGATAAGTCAATGTCCTGCCAAGCAGCATATGAATAGGAGAATTTGTTTGTATATGTGGCACCAGGGAGAGCTGCTCTGGTGAGCACATCATTTGCCCGGTCATATTTACAGATGTTCAAGGTGTCATAGCAGTTATAGTACAACATGTTGTTGTACAAGATCATTCCACCACCTTGACCAAAATCAGAAGCCCTTATAAAGTACTTCTGTGTATGAGCTCTATAGATTCTCAGATTACTAAATGAAGAGTAGGTATACAGATAATCCATAACCCTTCCATCGGTTCTTAGAGGAGCCACCCACTGGAGGTTCTGATCAGCACCTAGTAGTGAATCTCTCCCCCATCCTCCATACAAATATTTGTCTCCCATCAAGGTTAATTGGATCAGAAATGGTTCGCTGATATCATTGATGATTTGTCCATCTTCACAAGTACCTACAAAAGAAATAGATTTATATAAATGTTTTAACAGGAAAACAAAATGTGAATGCAGCAAAAAAGGAAAATCTGAGTCAGCCACCATATTATCTGCAGGTAAATCAGTCTGATAAAATACGGACATATTATGTTTTTGGATTATCTTGGTTGGCTATGAACAGTGATACAGATGAGTGAAAAAAAGGGTTATTGAGTGTTATTGTAAGACCTCTGTCAGTGTTGTATGGTTTATACATGTGTTATTTTGGGGGAAAAGGTAAAACCTCAATTGGTTTGAAAAGTTTCTTAATACAAGATTTCAGCCTCAAACTCAAACAAACTCTTGCAAGATCTTCCATTATTTTTTTTTCTTTGCTTTCACATTTTTAAATTATTATCAGATTGAAATGATTCAATGAAAGGATTTGTGAAAGACAACAAGATAATGCAGAAACACAAAGGGAAAGTGAATATCATTAACATAAACATGTGGCATTGATAGCAAACCATATTATCTGGTGTACAAAAATAAAGTAACAAACCACATGATAAGAAAGGCTGCAACAGGTTATCTTTAACCACTTCCAGTCCGGACACTTTTACCCCCTTCCGGTCCAGGCCAATTTTCAGCTTTCAGTGCTATCACACTTTGAATGACAATTGCGCAGTCATGCAACACTGTACTCATATGATTTTATTTGCATTTTTTGAGACAGATAAAGCTTTATTTTGGTGGTATTTATTCACCACTGGGATTTTTTATTTTTTTTTTGCTATGTAAATGAAAAAGTCCAAAAATTTTGAAAAAAAGTGTTTTTCTTATACAATTTTGCAAATAAATAGTACTTCATCATAACTCTTGGCCAAAATGTATTCCACTATCTTTTTAGTAAAAAAAAATAACCCAAATTAGTTTATAACCAAAATTATAATTTTAAACTTTTTTTAAAATTTTTTATATTATTATTTATGTTTTTTTTTTACATACTGTCACCCTAGCAGTACAGTGTTACCATGGTGACACTGTACTACTTGTAGGGGGTGATGAAGATTTATTTTTTTTAAAACTGATTGCTTTTACACCCATAAAGGCTGTAAAAGCAATAATTTCTCATTCTCTCTAGCTGCATTCTTGCAGCCATTGAGATCTACTGTGTGAGCTGTGATTGGTCTCAGCTTGTCACATGGTACAAGGCTGTTGTGAATAGCCTTGTACCATGTGACCTCTGTGATCATTCACAGATTTCACACGTAGTAAGCAATGATGTCACAAGTGACATCTTGCTTACTACTCTGCTTGTGATCACTGATTGGCCAATCAGTGATCACATGATCGGGACCTCGCAGGGAGGTCCCATCTGACGATCAGTGTTCCACTGTGTCTGGAGGACTCCGGATCACGGTGCTGCACGCTCCCAGGGAGTGCGCACAAGCAGGGTGCGGGGAGGCTGTTTATAAACGGCCACCCGATCCTGCACTGCCACTGTCCGGCTGTTTATATACAATGACCGGACGGGAGGTGGTTAAATTTTGGTACTCCAGCTGAATATACAAACTTTTCTTTTGCTCTCTCGCCACTTCCTTCAGAAGGGGGAGGGGGGGCTGCAAAGTGAACACGTTATTTCTGGATATGGTGGACTTGCTCACTGTCCTCTCTTGCTACAGTAATGGTCTTGTTACAGCTGTAGATATTCTTATAGCTTACACAAGGTTGTCTTTCTCTTCGGATGAATGGAGCCATGAGGGAGAAAAGAAAAAAAATACTCTGACAGTGCCTCCTTACCCCCCCCCCCCCCCCCCCACTGCAAGGGCTAACTGCTATTTTTTGCCTAGAGCAACAGGAAAGGGGGTTTTCTTACTCAGTCCCTCCCACTGCCTTCAACATATACACCTGGCCCCAAAGCTTCTTTTCTAAGGTTCTCCTGGCTGGCATTTGCATGCTGATATCGTTAAGTACAATGCAAAACCAATGGTCCTGCATTTCACTTTGAACACAGTGAGAGACCACCCACAAACCACAACATCAAAGAGAGATGGTCAGTGCCAGCTGCTAGGGGAGTAAGGTTTTGGGTACTCAGGGCAAAAATTAGCATTTTATTTTTGCAGTTCGGGGGGAGCCCCATTGCAGGAGTATTTTTTTCCCTGGAGCAGACATTTGCACCCAGGAAATGTACAGTTTGTTTTGGATGTATTCGTTCATTGAAAATTTTCCTTTTCATCATATTTATTATGTTGAATGGATTTGTTTTGTTTCTTTGGCATTCGTTTTGTATATTTGTTGGTCTGGGTGGATTTGAAAAATTATGCTTTTTTCCCAGAAGATTGCTATTTATTTGATATATTATCCAAACTATTCAGAATGATTTGACATTGTCAATTACTAGTCCAGCCCTCCAAGAGAAGTGGCATGAGCTGATTGAACAACATCAACTGGCATCGTGTACATCCAAATTAACAAATAGTACAAAATTCGGATCCATTTGTTATCCAAATCCGAAAAGTCAAACAAATTAAAAAAATTTAATTAATTTTCCAATGGGTCCGAACTATTATCTCATCATGTGACGTCATCTAACTGAAATGAGTGAAGCAAATGCATTTGTTACTATCGCTATAACTTCTTTTCAGATTCGTTTTCATTTGTTTCTATGTCCACTCAGAGATTCAGATATATCTAAATGTTCGAAAATGAAATTTTTGTCCAAAAATTTATCTACCAAATGCACATACAGTATCTATCCTGGAGTTAAACTTGAAGGCAATGGTTGTTTTGTTTTGTGCTATTTTTTTGTTAACTGGTTCATCTAGGATGGGACTGGAGAAAAATAATCATAAAAGAAGTGCAGGCATGAAAGGGAAGGATTATAATAAAAAAAAAAAAAAAAGAAAGAAGAATGAGGAAAGAAGAATGGCCATGGATAAAATGGAGAATTACCATAGAAGAGAGTAGAGGAAAATGATCACAGAGGAAAGAAAGTGGGCAAGGATGAAAGTGGAAAACTATTCACAGTGGAAGAGTGGAACAGTGAGTGTACAACCACATAGTCTGTGCAGTATAGAGCCACGGGAAGGTGCCCCCATAGAGCAGGGAGGGTGGTGGTTTTGGTGGTTTATTCTTTCTCAGAACATAAAGCTCAACGTGTGCAAAAACCTTCCAGCCAGGGGCGGACTGACCAGTTGGAAACTCGGGCACTGCCCGAGGGCCCGTGGTCAGTAGGGGGCCCCATGAGATGCCCCTGTTACCTTTTTCATAGGCTTTTTTGCGTTTGGGCAAGGACACAGGGGCCCCATGATCCCCTATTGCCCGGGGGCCCCACGAATTGTCAGTCCGCCCCTGCTTCCAGCACTACAGACTGGAAGCAAATGAAAGCAGCATAGGCAGATGCTGATACCACATTGATCTCAAGGGAGAACCACATTTAAGGCAAGTTTTCTAACCTACACAACTGTGCTCTCCCTAAGAACTACCATAGAAATTATACTCTAGTTTTGTTTTGTGCCCTGATCTGATCTAGCCAAAAGTCATCTTGTGTTTATAATTAGGTAGGTGTACAAACTGTTAGCCTGAGGTACCTATAATAAAAGAAATATATGCCAATCATTTAAAAAATTGGTAGCTGCCTGGCCTTTAGGCTCACCCACTTTAATAATTTTTAAGTAATCAACCCAGTACAAGTATTTAGATCAAAAAAATCAGAATGTGCTATCTTTATACTTGTACGACAGTGACTTAAAAAGAATGAAGGCAGAGCTTCAGCACGACAGCCAGGTACCTAGATTTATTTAGTTGGAGAGAACATCAAAAGGCAATTTCCAGGTTTCCCTCATGATAGGTTCTTTTAAAGTGCACCAAACATGCAAATACAAAATATCAGAAGGGGCCCATAGCTGTTGTGTATTGTTTCAAATTGTTCAATATTATAGATTTATAAAGCACCAACAGTTTGCTCAGCACTTTACAATAGAAGCAGCCAGTACAGAGGGCCCTGCTCCTTACAGCTTACAATATCAATAACTTTTGTTCACTGAAATGCAGTTTTTTTCTCTAACCTACCAATATCTGGTGAAGGAAGGGAAGGATGCTCTGGTTTTGTATTGTTCTTCTCACACTCTTCCAGGCGTTTCTTCAGAGATTCAATCTCTCGTCTGATCACCAGCACATTGTTCTTATCATAGATTTCTAATTGGTTCACCATGATGGAAATGTTACGGATCTACAAAGGAAATAAAGACACACCAGTAGAACATATTTAAAACTGAAAATTTTACTTGTGACTGCTTTCAAATTGGACATGACCCTGCCCTACTCAAGGAAGTGTTGGATGGAAATGTCTCTTCTTTAAAGCTGCCTATACACTGATCGAAATTCCAATCAGTGTGTGGCTGACCCTGCTCGAGAGAAGCCAACTGTTTGATCAAACTCTGACGAAGGGACATGCTAGAAAACTTTTCAATCAGAGTGGCGGGTATAACTGACACTCCTCTTCCCGAATAGTAAACTTTACTGAACGAGTAAAATGTGCATATAAAATGACTTATTGCCGAAACACGTACGCTATTTTATATGCACATTTTACTCATTCAATAAAGTTTACAATTCAGGAAGATGAGTGATGGCTATACCAATCTTCATCATTCAGTTGCATCTGTGCTGGAAAGACACACAGCCAGAGCACTGACATTGCACCTTCGTGGGGATTATTTCTGGGCGTAGCACCTAATTGTTCACAACACAATGTCCTGGTGGATGGAAGAATCTAGGAAGATCATCTAATGAGTGGCAATTGCAAATTTGATAGTGACTTGTGGTAGGACTAGGGAGGGGGGTTTTGCTGCCAGTGTCTGCTAATGATATACCAAGCCAACGAGGGATTCAGTCTTTTTATATCCTTCCGAAATGAAATCCATCTAACACTTAAAGCTTAACTTCATGATAAAAAAAATGAAAACAGCAATGAGTCACCAGCATGGACAGAAAGCAGTAGGTTTTATGAATGTGTGGCTATGTTGCAATGAATCAGAGTACCTTTCATTCCTTGAAGCTTAAAATGATGTTAAAGGCTCCTTTAAAAAAAAAAAAAGCAAACATGTTATACTTACCTGCTCTATGCAGTAGTTTTGCAGAGCAGCCCCTATCCTCCTTTTCTCGGGTCCCCTGCTAGCGCTCCTGGCCTCTCCCTCCTGCCTAGTGCACACAAACAGAGCCGCAGCTCGGCCCTGCTCCTTCTTTCTTGTCATTGACTCATTGGCTGCACAGAGAAACCTTCTGTCTTTATACCCACTTTAAGTGCAGCCAAAATTACAAAAATCAGCACAAGGGACAAAACTTACAGTCAGTAGGATGTGTCTCTTGTGCTGATTCCTCTTCTTGTAGTGAAAATCTTTCTCCATCCTGCCCTCACCCCACCGTTGAAATCTTCCGGTGTGGCTAGAGGTAATACAGCTAAGGGTCTGTCACCGGCTCTGATCAAGGGGTGGGGGGTGGGGTGTTGTAAAGTTCCTCTTTTAAAATTGAAGGTGAAAACATCAAGTATATTAAATGCTGACTTGCAGTTTCTTTATTTTCCATATTGCAATGATGTCTGTAATACCTTGCGATGTGCCTCTAAACTTGCTAGAAAAAAATGTAGTCAATTCCCTTGCACATGTTCATTTTACACATTATAGCACTCTCCTGCTCTAGGAGTGTCTAATTACTCTCTGTGCTGGTCCAGCTCCACTGCCTTCCTTTACCTCCCTACAGAACCTTTTTTGTAGCATTCGGGACAGAGAAATGCGGAATACTATAGAGTATCATTGCGTGACAATTCTGTGCCAGATGGGGCTGCTGACATCACACACAAGATGGGGGTGCCCACCAGCAGTCTTAGGGCTTTCAGATGTCAACATAAGGGAGGCTTTAAATAACATACATAAAATATTGTAAATGCACATATGTAGGAAGATTTTTGTTTAGATAAAAGGCCTAAGGACATAGTCTCTTTAAAAACACTAAGGTAGCATTACTACTGTGATTATAAAACTGTAATGCTATTGTGAGAATTAAAAGCTTTGTCTTACCTCCTGGTAGAGAGTCTCTATTATGACGTTGGAGCCATTAAATGACTCTTTCAGCTGCACTATAAGGATCTCCATCTCTTTGATCTCCAACTTGATGAGCTCAAAGTCTAGTTCAGTGTAGGAGAGACCTCCGTTCTCCATGATCTCCACACGTTTGGTCAGGTTCTTCATCTGCTCTATGTACACGGTCAATGTACTCTGATAGATGTAGATCTGTAAAGTGAATTCACACCTGTGGTTATTACTGCCAATATACAATAGAGCAGCAGTCTCCAAACTGCAGTCCGTGGGCCGAATGCAGCCCTTTGCTGGCCTGTATGCGGCCTTTGGGGCACTGTTCTTTCCACTGATATGAGGCAGTATTCCTCCCACTGACACCAACAATAAGTTACCATTCCTCCCACAGACGCCAACTGCGGGATACTATTCCTCCCACTGATACCAATGATCGAGCACTATTCTTCCTACTGACACCAATGATGGGACACTATTCCTCCCACTGACACCAATGAGGGGGCACTATTTCTCCCACTGACACCAACACTGGGGCACTATTCCTCCTACTGACACCAATGATGGGGCACTATTCCTCCCACTGTCACCAATGATGGGGCACTATTCCTCCCACTAATACCAATGATGGGGCACTATTCACCCCACTAATACCAATGATGGGGCACTATTTACCCCACTAATACCAATGATGGAGCACTATTCATCCCACTAAAACCAACGATGGGACACTATTCCTCCCACTGACACCAATGAGGGGGCACTATTCCTCCCACTGACACCAATGAGGGGGCACTATTTCTCCCACTGACACCAACAATGGGGTACTACTCCTCCCACTGACACCAATGATGGGGCAGTACTCCTCCTACTGACACCAATGATGGGGCACTATTCCTCCCACTGACATCAACAATGGGGTACTATTCCTCCCACTCACACTAATGATGGGGCGTTATTCCTCACACTAACACCAAGGATGGGGCACTATTCCTCCCACTGACACCAATGAGGGGGCACTACCCCCCACTCACACAGATGACAGGGCAATGATCCTCCACCTTCTGACCACAGGCACTATGTAAGTTAACTTGCACTGACCACCAAGCCTAAGACATTTTCTACTCCCAAAGTCTGCCCCCCTAAGGTCTTAGGGATAGTTAACCATCCCTTTGTTAAGAAAATTTGAAGACCCCTGCAAATATATTTGAAAACAAAACTTTTTTTTCATGTTTGATAATGTAGAGAATAATTAATACTCCTATCAGGATTTTTTGCCATCTGCGGTGCAATAATGAGATACGGGCAAAAGTATATTTAAAGTCCAACAGGTTGTTTTCTCTGAATACTTTCAATTGGAAATTAATGGAAAAAAAAAAAAAAGAACTCACAGCAATAAAAATGTGACAGATTTAAATCTCTCATTCTAACCAGAGCAATATTAAAAGTATTGGATGATGCACTTTACACATCATCCCTGGAATTAGTATGTGGTCTTCTAGTTTGATGATGATCACTCTCCTGTATTATTTTCAGGGAAGGACTGAGAACCTTTGGCCTAGGAGGCAACTTTAACTAATTGGCCCTTTCATGCTAGATTTCTGTGGGCTGAGGAAAGTCTATCACAGAAAGTTTGTCATAATGTGTGATTAGTGAATGGTGGGCATGGTGAAAGGTTGATGTTCCTAAAGGGTTATTGACCACCTTTCTACATCTTTCAGGATCAGCTTCCTTTTTGACTTTGGGTATTTGTTTACATGACATCTCAAAGCCAAAATGTTGGTAGAATTCCCTCTGTCACATGCTGTGATTACAGGTCTGAACAGGGGACAAGTAGCTCTATAATGTCCAAAATGTGTCACTGACTGTAGGTCCCACTCTGACTGAATAGTAAAGTATCTCTACTCAGTACCATCAAGACAATATATCATATTAGTAATGGCCCAGAGGGCAAATTTCCCCTGTTCCCCAGCCCATAGTTTTCTGCTGTTTGGTTATATGATTTTTTGATTAAGGGAAATAATAATTTACTAGCACAGTACCAAATAATTTCTATTTAACAATTTTCCATTGTGGTATGTGGTGGGGTGTTGGCGGCTATATATAGAGATTGACATTTTGAGCACAGGAGGACTATATAGATATATTTATACCCCCTTATTGTATCTCAGTTTTAAATCCCCTAAATAAATATAAAAAAAAAACAAAGCTCAAGGACTGATTTCTGACTCTGGATGCCAGCTTGTGTGGATTGCCTGGCTGTGCAAGACTATAGGGGGACCCAAATCTTTATAAACCCCCAAGGGGGTAGTGCTACATACTGTATATAGGAGATATGGTATTTATACCTTAGTAATTTCCTTCTCCACAGTGATTGTCAGATTGCGGTTTGCTATCTCCAACTTCTCAAAGCGGTCAGCCGGAAAGGTGGTATCTGGGAGGTTGATGGTGCAGTAACAGACTCCATTTTCGTCCAGGAATCCAGATCCAGATTCAGTGATCAAACTCTGTGTCTGTATAAAAGATAAAAGACAAAACAAACACATTACTAACCCATACAACTACAATATATCATTACAAGGGGTTCTAAAATATTCCATTCCATTATACAGATAACTGCAACAATATGTTAAATACACTGATGTTTTTTCATGTATTTAGTGAAATTTCCAGTGTGGGCAAAAAAAAAAAAAATGGCATTAGAGAATCCATGGGGTTGATTTACTAAAATGGTAGAATGCAAAATGGTGCAGCACTGCATAGAAACCAATCAGTTTCCAGTTTTTTTTATCAAAGCCTAAATGAACAAGTTGAAGTTAGAAGCTGATTGGGTACCATGCACAGCTGCACCAGATTTTGCACTTTCCAGTTTTTAATAACTCCCCAACTAAAGCTAAAGGTGAACACTAGGGAAATTAAAAAAATATACTTCCTGTGGAACCCCCCTCACACTGCAAGGATTAAATGCTCATTTTTGCCAAGGGTACAAGTAGAAATCACAGCTGCCAAGGGATCAAGATAAGGTAAGTAAAAGTCATTTTACTGGTACCCCAGACACATACTGTAAGAACACTTAACCCTTTAAGCGTTTTGAAGGAGCCCCATTGCAAGGGTATTTTCATTGTTTTCCTGGAGTTTCAGCTTACAAAAAGTTTTATGTGCTGCATTGCAGGTGTTAAAACCCCAAATAAATTCTCAGAAATAGATATACAGTCAAGTAGTCTTTGTACTAAGGCATTGCCAAGTAAAAAACAGTTAAAAATCTTTAATGTATTGTGACACAAAAAAAACCTGAAAACATTGCTTAAGCTCTGATGCAGAGAGTATCTAACCGGCTGAACACTATGGCCAAAGACTTATTTAATTTATCTGGAAAGACATTCTAATACTGCCAATATACTGGGATTTCTGGTTGCAATATTTAGTGAATGTATCTGGTACCATAAAGGGAGTTTAGACTTAAGCCAGCCATAGATGGTTCAAATCTCGGATCAGCTGAGACTCAGTCTATGTATGGGCAGGCTGATTGTACTCAAATTGATCCATCTTTGCATTTATCTGTTTGCCTGAAGTTCTGCTTTAAGTGCTACTGCATATATATTTTTTAATGCAAGGATATAATTCTGCTTAAAATAAAAAAAAACTTAAGATAAAAATCAATGACATTGGAAGCAAATATTTCTACCTGCATTTGAACTATGGTTTGTATTTCCTAAAAATAACAAAAAAATCAGGAAACCTTTCCTTAAAATAATAACAGTGGTTTAAAATGTTTATTCTCTGTTAAAACTTACCAGAGTGACAGCTTGAGTCTGCCACATGGCGAGCAGAAGAATGAAAAAAAGTATACATGGTGCCTCTCTGGTCTTCTGTACTGATGAGCTTCTTCTGTCCCACTATATATACCTATAGGAACACGTCCACCCCCCTTTTTCCCATTGTTGTTCATTAACAAAAGTAGATGTGAAAACCTGTAAATGACAACAAGGTTATAAAAATGTATCAAATTTGATGATTAAATGGACACATTGCATAATTATTGTTATCTAGCTATAATATTGCAATAACTATAAAATACTCATAAACTTTCAGAGATAAAGGAACATAAACGTCTCTTTGTTAGATTTCATCAAGATAATCTTTTAAACAAGGGAACAGGTCACCAAAGAGTCCCTGTATAAGATCAGTTTTTTGGCCCCTTTTTCAACTACTGCCCAAGTAAAAAAACATATGCAATGTGTATAAATAGCAGATAGGTAAACAGAAAGGATAGACCTTCCAGACCCAAATCACATATAAATACTATTTCACATTGGCAGACTCTGTCAGCAGATCTGCCTGCTCAATGGGGAATCTGTCTGCTGATCCCCACTCAGCAGGGGGATGACAGATCTGTGTCCCGAGCAGAGCGGACATAGACCCAGCCCACTTTCCTCTATGGGCAGTTGGATGTAAACAGACTGCCTGTCATTCACACTCGACTGTCATCTGATTCTCCAGACAGATGGGGAATAGATCCCCATCTGTCTATTTTTGGCACATAGGATTGGATCGGATGTCGTTGGATGTAAACGCACACGTGTCCATTTATATTCACAGCTCCATAGAGGGTAATGGATGGTGTGATCAGGTCCACCTAAAAAACTGATGGGAGGACCCGATTGGTCTGCCCATCTCTTTTTTAGGCAAACCTGACCGAACCATCCATTGCCCTCTGTGGAGCTGTAGATGTAAATGGACATGTGTCCATTTACACCCGCCGATATCCGATCCAATCCTGTATGTTAAAAACAGACAGATGGGGATTAATTTCCGATCTGGCTGGTGGATTGGATCGGATGACAGTTGAATGTATATGGACAAGCAGTTCATTTACACCCAACTGCCCATACAGGAAAAAGGGTTATGTCCATGTCTGTGCAGAACTGTCATCTGCCTGCTCAGCAGGGATCAGCGGACAGATTCCCCACTGAACAGGCAGATCCTCTGACAGAGTGCGCCGATGTGAAACCTTAGTGTGAAAGAAGCCTAACTTCCACAGTGCTTTTATTTAACTGTAAAGTGTTCACAGGCCTTGCTGGCCTTTCCTTCTAAAAATATATCCTGTCTGAGACATCAAAGTGAAATGCTGAACCAGATATATAAAAAAAATAATAATTAATTGGTGGTTTGGTGTGAAGATCTTTAATATTTCATTATGGACATGCCTTTATGTACTAGATTAAAGGAAACTGTCACATTATCATATGGGTTCAACCAGAACGTGAAAGCCTAAAATTACCTTCAGATATTAGAGAGTGTTTTACATTCCAGCTTGGATCCAGTTGGATCAGGGAATGGCCGATATTCCTTTGTGTTAAAGAAAAATTCTCCTAATCCAACATTACTTAAAGGACAAGTTCCCCTTCCCTTGTGTTTACACTCTTTTGAGGAAATCTTGCCTTCACACTAAGAAAGATTTAAACCATCATGTGTACCAACTAGGGCCCATCAAGTGCGCAGAAGATTGGACACCTCTGTGTTAAAGGGACAATGATATATCTAATTAAAGAACCCCTTTTTCAGAGTTAAACCCAGCCACCAGTAACTGAGAGCCCAAATGTGAGTTAGTCTGGCAATTTGATAGTTTCCTCTGGTTCATTTGGGGAGAAACATCTCAGAACAAGGGCTACTTTTTAAATTCTGATTTGTAGTATATCTAAGAATTGATTGAAGTGTGTTGCAACCCTTATTTGAGTCTCTAAGAGTGCTAGCTGTTATTCTATGCACATATTCTTTTGTCATTTTATTGTGCTTTCATTCAGACCTTAATATAGCCCAAATATCAATTCACTCTAAACTGTGTATGAGTCTATTTTATGGTTTTAGCTAGGGGTTCTAAGGTGGTGTCAGAATGGATTGGGCTTCCAAGGCAGGCTCAGGAAAGACAGGGAACCTGAAAAATACTCAGTGGCCCTCAAGGGGATAGTGCTACACTTATGGTAATGTTTCTGCTGCAGGTACTGCTGTGTATATTGCTGATGTTAATGCTTCTATGTCCATTCATTTGCAGCCTTCGTTAGTCCTTAATTTTTTCTTTATCAGAAAGTTGTTTTAAAGAAGCTTTGGCTTTTGGATTGTCTTTTTGGGATTTCATTTAAGCTTTCATTATAAAGAGAACATTTGGAAACAAGAATATTTTAACATCCTTCCGAACACTGCAGCGGCTTATCTCAGCATGTTGAAATTACATTAGAAGCATATAAACATTTTAGCAGTTTTCATGTTTTTTATGATGAATGTTTCAGAGAGAAACTTTCAGTACATAGGAATTTAGGATGGAGCACAAAACATGTTGTATTGTTGTTGATTCTACTGCTACCTAAATCTCTAAATCCTACTTTTTTGTAGAAGTGTAACACCCTGCAGTAATACTGGTTGCAGGATGTTAAATAGACACTAGATGGCAGTGTCCTGCAGCCAAGTTACACAGACTCTGTTGAAAAGCTTTGTGGGATTTGTAGGCTGATTGCAGGACTTCACTGTATGGCAGCAAGCTACCAAACTACATTTCCCAGGGGAGCTGGCTAATGGGCAGAGGCAAATAAATACAGAAGCGCGGGAACCTGAGGACAGGAAGTGGATGGAGAGAGCTGGAGAGCAGGTGTGAGGAGAAGCCTGTGTGGGACACTGGAAGCCCAGGCTGGGCCAGGCAGCAAAAAGTGAAGGAGAGAGGAGGAACTGCTGACCGCTGACATCGCTGACAAGTTGGGCTGACAGTCCTGTGAGCGGACAAACTGGAGTCATTTGGAGTGATCTTTCTCGGAAGAATCGAGAGAACATGGGGGCCCCTCCACCATCTACAGAGAGACTATCCGCTACCTGACCGAGGCCACGGATCAGGTAAGAGAGCTCCATGCCTAAATCATCTAAGTTGCAAATGGCATTACAAAGTTCAGTTACTTTCTACTCAGTTTGACATCCTTTGTTTTTTAAGATACATGTGCTAAGGAATAGGTTGTCCAGCCTATTAGTTCTCAACTCATCAAATCACAAGAGCCTGCTGCAATATTGGCACTCTGCGGGTTAAGTTGTATTATTGCTTCAGTTCCAGTCTGTGCCATTCACCAAGGAACTCCTTTATTACTGTACTTTGACACCTTTTTAAGAGGAGCTAACCCCTACAGAAGTGTGTTCCTGCCCCTTTTCTTAATTTAAGCCCAATTTTACTTTTTGATGGATAAAGGGATACCTTCCAAATTCAATATCAAATTCAATATATATATTTCAGTATATTAGGAACTCCTACCTTTACCTTAAAGAAAAAGTGACACTGACCTATCAAAATGAAGAGCTTTTTCCTTTCTCAGGATTAAACCAAGACATTAACAACTGAGAGCCCAAAGTGAGTTAGCCTGTCAGTTTTGTAATTTCCTTTCGACTCACTTGGGAGGAAACATCTCAGGACTGGAGATACTGTTTAAATTCTGAATTGCAGGACATCTAGAACTGATTGAGGTTATGCTGTGTTGTAACCCTTACTTGAGGTTACTAAGCGTGGTAGCTG